GAAATTACTGCAAGAAGGAAAACAAGAAATCGAAGACTTCGCTGTAGTTCACAAAGTCAAGTGGCGATTCAATACACCGCTGAGTCCCCATCAAGCAGGATTCTTCGAAAGCCTTATCAAACTGGCGAAGAAAGCATTACGAGTGATAGTCGGACAACAAGTGTTATCGTGGAACGAGATGTCAACCGTTTTCGCCGAAGTTGAGAGTCTCGTAAACAGCCGCCCCCTTGGATATCCCTCCAACAACCCAAACGATCTTCGTCCTTTAACCCCGAACCACCTTATCCTTGGCCGTGCGTCAGCCGACGTCCCGCAAGGTCCGTTTCGAGAAGCAAGAAATTGTCGAAAGAGATTCGAATACATCCAGACGTTAGTACAACAGTTCTGGAAACGGTTCCAGCGCGAGTATTTCCAGACGCTGATGCGGAGAACGAAGTGGACGAGCAAAGAACGACAACTCAAGGTTGATGACATAGTTTTGATGGTAGAGTCAGGTGTCGCGAGAGGAAAGTGGAATCTAGCGAGAGTGATCGAAGTTTATCCTGGTCCAGACGGTGTTATAAGAAACCAACCTCGTCCCCAGGGCCTTTGAGCTGACTTCGTGCTGGAGAAGGCCCTGGCATCGGCTGACATTTTACACCCCAAAATTTGGGGTGTGAATTAATTAAGACCACTTAATTTCAATGCGCGAAATTGTTTTATTCTTCAAAATTTCCTATACTTGCTGCTCCAAGACAAGGTAAATGTTATATATTTTTAATCCTCGAGAAATAAGCTATCGGAAAATGTTTGAATCGAATTTATACGATCAGAAATTTAGAAGCTACGAGTCAATTCGTCTGTATTTAGATGCCATGTATGTTGTGATATGTATTAAAATTTTTGGAATCCTCAGTACAAAACTTTAGATAATTTTTATAATACTCAACCAATATACCTCATTCAAACATATTTGAACTCCCGGTTGTATAGCGATACAGATTATATAAAGTATGTAAAGGTTTGAGCAAGTCTTCACCAAATTTACCAACGAAATTTGATGCTCACATTCTAAACTAAATATTTAATATGTCTCGACTGGCGTGCATAGTCCATTCACTTTCTTCATTTAAAAATTATTTTCTATCTTAACACCAGACACATTATATATTTTTGTGATCCTTAGAAGATTTTCTTACGAAAGATCAGCAAACAAAGTCTCTACAACAAAAATTGGATGAGCTTACATAAGATTTGTAATGTTGTTGCCATGTTGTAAACAATTAAATTGTAGTCTAGCGGCTGCCAAATTGACTCGTAGCTTCTAAATTTCTGATCGTACAAATTTGATTCAAATATTTTCCGATAGCTTATTTCTCGAGGATTAAAAATATATAACATTTACCTTGTCCTGGAGCAGCAAGTATAGGAAATTTTGAAGAATAAAACAATTTCGCGCATTGAAATTAAGTGGTCTTAATTAATTCACACCCCAAATTTTGGGGTGTAAAATGTCAGCCGATGCCAGGGCCTTCTCCAGCACGAAGTCAGCTCAAAGGCCCTGGGGACGAGGTTGATAAGAAACGTGAAGCTGAGAACAAAGACAGGAGAGTATGAACGATCCGTGCAGAAGTGTTGTTCAATACTGGAAGAAGGTTCTTCCTAATCGTGGCCGGAGAGTGTTTCGGACAGTCTGCATGAACATTAAACTCTTTAACTTTATACTTTAGAAATTTTACCTTGATTTAATATGATTATAACTTGATTCAGTATTTTAGGTGTTGACAGATAGTAATTATTTAATGACGTAGATAGCTAAAAAGACATTTTAATAACATTGGACAAAAAAGAGTTTTATTGAGAGTACTGCGAGTGAACAGTAAACAGAGAGATTAACAGCCGTAGAGATCCACTCTTTAGGTACAGTGTATTGTGATTAATCATTTGTATTAAGCCATTAGGATAGCTATGAATTTATCAATCATGCATGTAATATTTTGAACTGTAATCTAATCAGAATCTAATTATTTACTGTAGAATTTTTTGTGGGTAGCCGCGCATGCGCAGCTAACCACTATGTGAGAGACTGAAGCGCGATCTTCCGTTTCTCTGTGGCTCTGTGGCTCTGTGGCGCTGTGGCCTTCTTGTCCGCGGTGTCCTGCTGCGCGGTTCCTTTTATCCTTGAAATACGAACCGTCTATAGACCACAGGCTAAGTTCACTAACGCTCATACCGTACAGAGATGTGTATAAATTCTTAGTAAAGTCTTTATTGTAATATGTTTTGTCAGGTCGATAGTCATTTCCAACGCATATAGAATCGAATATGTCGTTGTTTTTATAATCACTGCTTGTACAAGGGTCATTGGGGTTAATATTAGCGCACGGGGTCTGTTTTATATCGTGTAATGTCATATTTAAACACGACATATCAGTTTGATCAAACATTTTATACGTATTAGAAAAATATAGTAATTAGTGATATAGCGCGCGACGATTGGACATATTTACGTTAGTCTATATCGAAGGAATGTTGACGAATGACGAACATATAGGTATATAGAATCGAGTATGTCGTTGCTTACATAATGTTTGTAAGGCCACGTCATTGGAATCGGGTTAGTCGAATGTGTAAGTTAAGGCAAATAGAAAGCCAAGCACGGTTTACACAAGGATTAAATTAGGCAGTGGAATATTAGCGCTTTTTTACTTTGGGATATATTTGTCGAATATTGAAAGCAAATTGAATGTCATTACCAATATATATGAGATCGATTATGTCGTTGTTTAAATAATTCAATCATCACTAAATAAAGTATATGTTGATCTTTTTCAAACTCCGCCGGAAAACATCGTCCTTAGATCTTTGCATGGACTATCCTTGAAACTCAAACTTCACGAAAATTGTATATACGCAGCCTGTAAACCTGATGCTTTGTCTTTGATGTATGCTGTCCTTGAACAAGAACTGTTCTTGTCTTAAGTGTTTTTCGTACTGTCTGTATTTCGGCGTGTGATGTATTTTGTTTCGTATACATATTAAAGACCTTGTACTGTTCTGTCTGTTCAGTGTGCAAATTATTTTTGACACATTAAAATACTTTGTAACTTCTTAAATCTGTTTATGCTTATTGAAAAATGCACGTAACAGTCGTTTACGTATTTTTGTCATATCTGATGTTCAGTATGTGATTAAATGTGTGTATAATATTTGAATTGTGTTCAATTTACTTAATACTTTCTTTCAGTAAATTCGGAATTTGACAATAGCAATTAAGGTGGAGTAATATACTAATATGGGCAACAAAATTGCTGCAACTTGCAACAAAATCTGATTTCTGCGCATGTTAATTGAAATGTTTTGTCAACATTTCTACTTAAAATGCGTTGAAATCAGATTTTGTTGCAGAAATTTTGGCTGCAGCAATTTTGTTGCGCGTATTACTCCAACCTCGGTATTACTCCAGCTTTAACAACAATTAATGCAGGCTACCCACATGTACGCAGCGCGTACCTATTTTTATATATATATTACGAAAAATCTCTATGGTCTGTGCGTGGTTCAATCCTTGGTAACAATAACTTTAACACATTTCTTTGCGTTTAATATTTGAACGTTTCGTTCACGTTGCATTAGATCGGAACAATGAAATCTGGACGTTTTGAGTGTGAAATTTTAATGGTATATATCGTGTCGACTGTCGACAAGCACTCTATACTCATATATGTTTCAAAACTCGGCAAACGCAAGCTTGCTATTGGTCTATATATGTATATGAACTTGAATTACAGGAGCGAAACGCTTGAAAATATGAAAAATTGCTAATACAAAACCATGTGTTTGACAGTCGACACGATATATA